CCTGACGCTCCATTCGCTCTCAACGGAACCACCATCTCCGAATGCAACAGTTATATATACCTAGGTCGAGAAATCAACACGATGAATGACCTGGCACCTGAGTTGCGCAGGAGGAAGAGAGCGGCTTGGAATGCCTTCAAGAGCATTGAAGAAATAACTAAAAGGACAAAGAACCTCCAGCTACGAGCACATCTCTTTGATTCCACTATTCTTCCTGCATTAACATATGCCTCAGAGACCTGGACCCTACGAAAACAGGATGAGAACGCTATTCGGGTCTCTCAAAGAGGAATCGAAAGAACTATGCTTGGAATATCACGATTCACTCAAATGAGAGATAGAATCCGGAGTTCTGATCTTCGTCAACGCTCAAGAATCAGGGACACTGTCTCATTTGCCAAGACATCAAAAATCAGATGGGCTGGACACGTAATGAGGTTTACAGACAACCGCTGGACTAGAGCCATTACTGATTGGATTCCATGGGACATCAAAAGATCACGTGGACGCCCACCTATAAGATGGTCAGACTTCTTCGTCAAGACCCTAAATGATCGGTTTGAGGCTCTGCATGTTCCTAGAACGAACAAATACCATTGGGCTACGCTAGCACGCAACCGGGATGAATGGAGATGTTACTGGCACCCGCTCGAATAAATCGATGAATAACGGGGATTAAGTGATTAAGTGATGTTTCATGCTTGGGTCTTCAAAGTGCAAGACTATCAGTCAGAATTTTCCTGATATAGGAAATCAATTGAAACTTGAACCTATGGACAATTATTCTAGCAAAACCTGTGCTAATTATCATGACTTTTTAGTTAGAAGGTTGTAGGCATAGAGTTGAGAATATCTTACATAATTGTAAACTTTGTTATTATCTATAGATTTTCAATAACACTTTATATAAAACAAGTTATTACTTCATTTTTTATCAAGTCAGTATTCCTTTATATGTTGTAAATGCTGCTAGAAACCATAGACATAAAAGTGTTATTTTGTGTATGAAAAGGAATGCCTGTGTAGATATTTCATATTTTCTTTTTTTCTAAATGTAGGGTGTTTTTCTTAATTTTTATGTTTTCATTATGTGATATTAATTGAAGGACAATTAAATATCTGAAAATGATTTTTATTAGTAATCCTTACATAGATATTAGGTGTTAGGAAAATGTATATCAAATATATTGAACTGAAAGTTAAATTATATTAATATTACAGTCTGGCTTCATTTTTTTAATTCTCTGTATCAGGGATCTGAAAAGTAATACAAGTGCTATAAGTCAGCCTTCTACTTGCTTTTATAAAAAAATTTTTATTGGAACATACACACACTTGTTCATTTATACATTGTCTTTTTGATCTTGTGTGCTTCAAGGCAGTATTTAGTATCTGTGTTGAGAACAAATGAGAAAGCCATTAATAGTATTTTCTAAGCCTATGAAGAAAAAAGTAATGTATAATGTAGTTAAAATTCATTTGTGATGTAGTTGATCCCTCATATCTGTTACCAGTGCTCCCTCAGAGTTCATTTTTTAATTATTTACTTTTTGGGTTTGAGGGCCGCACCTGAAATGCTCAAGGTTTTCTTCTGGCTCCACACTCAGGAATCACTCCTGGAGGTCTTGGAACATAGATATATGGGGTGCAAGTGATCAAACCCAGGTTGATTAAGTGCAAGGCAAACATCCTGATTGTACTATAGTTCCAGTCCCTCCCTCAGACTTTTTAAGAGAAACGAAGTAGAGAAATATAAGCACTGAATTTTTCTATTTTGTTTTGTATTTGTATTGAAGGTACTTGTTTCTATGTTTTCAAATCTCAGACGAATCATTATTTACTTATATTACAGTTTTTTCTCTCAGTGATATTTACTACCATGCTATATTATTCATTTATTATTTTCTGTATCATTTATAAAATATAAAATAGTGGGCCAGAGCAATAGCACAGCAGGTAGGGCGTTTGCCTTACATGCGGCTGACCTGGGTTTGAGCCCCGGCATCCCATATGGTCCCCTGAGCACTGTCAGGAGTAATTCCTGAGTGCAAAGCCAGGAGTAACCCCAGAGCATTGCTGGGTGTGACCCAAAAAGGAAAAAATATATATATATATATATACACTAGTAAAGAAAAATTAAGATCTAAATAAATGGTAAAAGTCGAACTTGCTTGGTCAAAAGCAATTCAGATTTACTCACTAACAAAATAAGAAATAGCAAAACATACAAGTATGTATAAGCACATATATTTGTATATGTTGTGTGTATGTGTGTATACTTTTAAGGACAGTCACTTAAATTATTTACTGTTGTAATCTTAACTTTCTGTGTCACAGTTGTAGAATAACTTTTAATAAGAAAATGTAATTTAAGGGCTGGAGCAGTAGTATAGCAGGTAGGGCACTTGCCTGGCACACAGCCAACTCAGGTTCAATCCCTGACACGCCATATGGTCCTGGAGTCTGCCAGGAGTGAACAATGTGTGCAGAGCCAGGAAGGAATAAGCCCTGCATACTGCAGGTGTGGCCCTCAAACAAAAAAACATACATATGATGTAAAAAATTATAGTCGCTTAAGAGAATTTGAAATAATTTTAATACAGTATTCTTAACCAATTCCTGTTGAAACATGTTAATTTTATAATACTTGTTTTTATATCTCCTTAAAGTAATAATTTTTCACATTGTGAAGCTGACAGAAATTTAGAATATTAGTTTTTACACTTTTTACTGTGTTAATTATTTAGAATATTCAAACTTGTTGACTAGTTTTTTCTTTCTGACTTTATATAATTCTTTGAAATAATAAAGGGGACTTTCTAAGTTTGGGAACTAATTTTTTAAATATATAAATGTTTGATTCTAATCTGTCTTCACATTTATCAGTTTAACTAATGAATTATGAAGCTTATGGAATTCAAATTAAATTTCATTTTCCCATAAGCAGTTCTAGTATGACTTTGTGCAAAAAGATCATGAATAAGGGAATGCTGTATCACCAAGTGACTTCCATAAAATTATTCTTGAACAGTAACCATACTTACATTATCAATTTACTTGAAATTCTTTTATTATTAAAATGTATGAGAAATTTACCTATTTTGCTTTCTCGTGTTTTTAATTGGCTGGAGCGATAGCACAGTGGGTAGGGCGTTTGCCTTGCACACAACCAACATGGCCAACCCGAATTCGATTCCTCCGCCCCTCTCGGAGAGCCCGGCAAGCTACTGAGAGTATCTCGTCCACACGGCAGAGCCTGGCAAGCTCCCCGTGACGTATTCGATATGCCAAACACAGTAACCTGTCTCACAGTGTTACTGGGCCTACTCGAGCAAATCGATGAACAACTGGAGAACAGTGACAGTGACAGTGATGTTTTTAATTGAGTAAAACCAGAAATTATCTTCACAGATCTTACACAAAATTTAATGAAGCAGTTTATTTGAAAACTGTTAATGTTTTTGGGAGAAGTATAAAAGATGAGAGTATTTATCTTTATTGAAATATTAATCTAAATGCATGTTAGAAGTTGAAAATTTCAATTATAATTCAAAATTACTATGCCTTTCAGAAAATTTTTAAATAGAAGTGTTTTTTTTAATATGCACATAAAGTTTTTGTTAAAATGCAATATGTGACCAGAGAGAAAGTTCAGTGGGCTGAAAATTTGCTTTGCATGCTTGTGGCTTGATTTCTATGCCTAGCACCTCCTAATCTCCCAAGCACCAAGGGAAGTAATGTCTGAGTTCTTTACTGCAAGTAGCCCCTGAACGTTGCTTGGTGTGACCCCAAAATTAAAAAAGTGGAAAATAAATGCAATGTTTTATAATAGTGGATAGAAATAGTTAAGATGTTTCCTGAATGTGCGCTGATCCTGATTTGAGAATCCTCAGGACCACATGTGAACCCCCCAATACTCAACCAGGCTGACCCCTGAGCACAGAACCAGGAGCAGCCCCCAAAAAGCACTAGGCATGACCTAAATGCATGCAAAGTCAAATGCTTTCTCACTGAATGTAATAATTTCATGAAATACGGAGTTTGGAACAAATTTGAAGCAAAACTTTCCTTTATAATCTTTTCCCCTTTTTGTGTGGTTAATAGCGCAGAAGTGGTAAAATACAAATAAGAAATAGCAGCTTGAATATCTAAACTTTCAAATACATTTTTAAATAATTGAGATCATTTTTGAAATTTATATTTCATTAATACTCAGATTTTCATTTAATTTTTGCAATGTAATGATTGAGTTAATTATAGACAGCTTCCTAAAGTCTTTTTTGGAACTTCTTTTTTGCCTTTATTGTATTTCCCTAATTAATAAACATCTATAAACGTTCTAGTAAAAGCTATAAAGACTTATAGAATTTGTTTTATGAATTAATCAGTTCACTTTGTTTTTAAGTTATATAATTCTCTTTTAGTTATGAAAAGAGAGAAAGCATTTCTATCTCGAAAGATCCAATTTTGGTCAGTCTTTATGTGTAGTATTTGTGTTAACAGAAAAGAAAAATAGCAGCAGGAGATTTTTCAGGTCAAATTTAGTGGTAATTATTTGTCATTGCTTTTGAGGGAACATAGCTAAACTTTATAATAAAAAAAGAAACCTGCCTTGTTTTATTTGTGATGATGTCCAAAAAAGAGAAGAAATACAGTTTCTGATAAGAATTGAAAGTCTAGGAATAAATATAATGATAAGAATGAGTACTTCTATCACTAGGGAACTTTCTTCATCTAAGCACATATGAACAATTGATCCTTGTAGTCATATATAGCAGTAAACATTAATAACTTAACAGTCTGAAGTCAGTGCAGAAGATATGGAGCATTATTGAAAGATGGAGTCGAGCAGGTGGCACTTTAATATGTTCAGTGTCATGGTTGACTCTAAAGACTAGTCGAATGAAATTACTTGAGGTTCTAAAGATTTAAAAAGCGAACTCATTTTGCTGCACTAAGGAAATGCTACTGATCAGGCTTTCTGTGTCCCTTTTTTCTAGGCTAGAAAATATTAACCCTGAAGAAAATGACATGGTAAGCCATTCTCTGAGGAGATTTCTTGATGTCAGTCTTATATCTTAGAGGCTTAAGTTCAATTGAGTGGGTTTCAAGAACTAAGATGTGGGAAAAAAGAAGAATTGACACACTAATAATGTACATCTTTGCTGCAATATGAAAATTCAATAACTTCACTCAGTCAATTTACAATTCACATGTGCCTATTAATTAAAACCCTATATTAAATAAAATATATTAAAACTTCATGTCTGACTAACATATAATGGTGTTGGTAGACATTACAGGAATTACTGAACAGAATAAACAATGCAGACACAGGGATAGCTATTCAGAAGAATGGAGCTATAATTGTGGATAGAATCTACAAGACCAAGGAATGTAGAAAGAGAATAACTGCAGAAGAAATGAATGCTGTGATAGAAGAACGGGATGCTGCTTTGTGTCAGGTAACTGCATATATCAGTAAAAGCATATTCTTACTATCCCTTCCCCCTTTATATTACCACATACATCCCAAATGGATTTCTTCACATATGCTTACTTCCAGTGAGTGTTTTAGCATGTAATTAATGCCGTTCTTACTAAGTCTGTTAAAATAATTGCATACGTTGTACACTGTCTTTCAAGTACATGGATCTTTAGTTCTTAATAAAACTGTTAGCATGTCATAAAATTTTAGTTTTCTTCTTCAAAGTAATTACTTTTATATGAGACTTCTTGAGTCCCAGTTTTGTGAGGTCTTAGATTATGTCTTTATTCTCAGTGCATAATACAATTTTATACTGTTTTACTCCCAGTGCATAATACAGTGCTTTTTAGTAAACAGATAAATGAGCCAAGTTATTTGTATATTTTTTTCTGTATGTTGCTTATACCTTCCTGCTGTGAAACTATTTTACTACCCTGATGTTACTACTTTTACTCAGTCCCTTCTATAGCAGTTACACTGATGGACTTTCAGGCTTATTCCTTATTAGTGTTTTTGGATCCTTACTCCATTTTCCTCTTTGAACACCTTCAATTATAAGCTCATGCCTTAGACTGTACCACACACTACACAGTACTTTTGTAATCATGTGCATACTCCTTTGAATCTTCTCTCATTTCCTAGAGATGTCTTTTTTGTGAACACACGTCTGTCATAATTCTTGGTGATTTAAATGTTTCTGTTGATGATTCTTTCAGTAACCTATTTCTCACCTTCTTGAATCTCTTTTCTTAACTTCATGCACCATATGGTTCTTCCATTCAGAATGGTTATACCATGGGCGTGCTCATTCTTAGTCTCCATTCTGCATAACCTATTTGAGACTCAACTATGATGTAATTGACCTTTAATATCTGTGATAGGCACTTCCTGTGTCTCCTCACTTTCTAACTCAGATACTTTATTTTTTTTATCACTTTTTTTATTAGTGAAACACCATGAAGTACAGTTATAGACTTATAAATTTTTGTGCTTGGGTTTCAGTTATACAATGATCAAGTACCCATCCCTCCACCAGTGCCCATCCTCCCCCACCACGGGTCCTAGCATCCCTCCCACCCCCTATCCCCCCCACCCCCCACCCCCCCCCCATCCCACCCTGCCACTGTGGCAGGGCATTCCCCCCTGTTCTCTCTCTCTTCTTTTGGGTACTGTGTTTTGCCAGAGAGGCATTGAGTGGCAATCATGTTTGGTCTATAGACTACTTTTAGCATGTCTCTCCCACCCTGGGAGGGTCTTCACAACACCCTTTATTTGGTGCTCTCTTCTCTAACTAACTCAGATACTTTAGAATTCTGACTTCTACAGTTTTTAACTCCATTGTCACTTAATTCTGTAGATCATACTACCACTGTTCTTTTCTTCAAACCTATATTTCTCTCTTTATCCATCTTAAATTTCATTCCCTGTTATTATTATTATCACATTTATGTATATAATATAATTTCAGTTCTTTTGGACCTCACTTCCTTTATTGTCACAACGCTAGTCACAACATGAACTTTTATAAATGAACATTCTGGCTTACCTGAAATCTTCTCATATTTGTAAAGCAGTGGAAATTCAAAAATTTCTCATTTGTTTACCTTAAAATCATGATCACTTCTTACTTTAAAGTAATAATACTTCTTAATACTTCTTCGAGGCCCTTGTTGTTGCTTAAGTCTCTTCTTGCTTAGTTTATTTTGTGTCTCCTCTAAAGAACTGTCTTATATCTTCTATTTATAAACTTTTTTTCTTATCTGAAATACAGCCTCTCCTTCCTAACCAATAAGCCCAATAGATTTTCCTCATCATTTCATCCACTTTTCTAGCTATACTTGTAACCATGTTTTCTGCCTTTTCTGCTTGTTTTTTTCACTGCATAATTCTATTAAGGTCAACCTGTATCTAGACTGGTACACGTCTTTTCTTGGTTGCTAATGGTTGGTTATTTAACCAGTTTGTTTTTTCTCACCAACTTTATAAATCTCTTCTGTTTCCTTATTATTCATTTCTTTCGCTATCTAAAATGCATTACTGTTTACCCTGGAGGTAGGGTGGAATTATTTTTAAGTGTTGGTTTTCTTGTGGTTTATCTCTGTACTTTTGTTTTTGTTTTTCATTGATTGACCTTGAGCTACACTTACAAAGCTTTCATGTTTGAGTTTCAATAATGTAGTGATTAAACACCTGTCCCTCCACGAGTGTACATTTTCCACCACCAATGTCCCCAGTATTCCTACCCCCTCCCCATCACACTACTCCCCCTGCCTGTGTGGAAGAAATTTCCCTCTTACTCTCTCTAATTGTGAGCATTATGGTTTGCAATACAGATAATGAGAGGACATCTTGTTTGATCCTTTATCTACTGTTAGCACACATCTCCCATACCAAGCAATCCCTCCAACCCTCATTGACTTAATGATCCTTTCTCTGTCCCAGCTGCCTTCTCCCCCAGCTCATAAGGCAAGCCTCCAACTGTGGAGCAATCTTCCTGGCCCTGTCTCTACTGTCCTTAGTTGTTAGTCGCATATTATGATATTTTATATTCCACAAATGTCATCTCTGTACTTTTGGTGAGACATTTAAAATCAAAATTTCAGTATTCCCCCAAAGTTTTCTACCACAAGATCCTGTCTTTGGTGCTAACATGAAGATAGGAACTGTTCTTTATGCCTGCCATTCAAGATAATGTATCTTCCTTTCTCCTGAAAAATTTTGAAATGAACTTCTCCCAAAAGTGAATTTGATGATGTGTTGGCTGAAATTTTTTGTGTGATGGTTGTGAAATTTTGAAAAGATGCTTTATTTTGAAGAGTTTTCATTCCAGACCTACATGTCTTTTCACATGGATGAACTAAGTCCTACAACCAAACTAGAAGTTGAACTTTAAGGATGCCTTGCTTCTTCTGGAGAAGGAAATAATGTCAAATCTATGTGATGTTCTCCCATTAGTACCCTGAGTATATCTCTTTCCACAACTGGGATATAAAAAAATTAACCTGAATCCCAGCTTGGTCCAGTCTTAGGTACTATCTTATCGTGTGTGTGTGTGTGTGTGTGTGTGTGTGTGTGTGTGTAGTGTAGTGTAGGTACTAGTACATGTTGTTGAATTATAGTTGCTGAGTTGCTGAGCTTTACTGTTATCACTGTCACTGTCATCCTGTTGTTCATCGATTTCCTCGAGCAGGCACCAGTCTCCTTTGTCCTAGCCCTGAGATTTTAGAAAGTGCCACATTCAAGGTTCTTTCAGGGTCAGGAGAATGAGCCCCATCGTTTCTGGTTTTTGGCATATTGAACACGCCATGGGGAGTTTGCCAGACTCTGCCGTGTGGGCAGGATACTTTTAGTAGCCTGCCAAGTTCTCCAGAGTAAGAACTAGATAATAAGATGTCATGCGGCTGCGCACTTTCGGGATTGTCTCTGGGTCTTGGCTGTTGATGGGATTACACTGCGCGGGGGGCAGTTGGTGGGTGTAACGCCTACATACTGAAAGATGGGGGATCTGGGTGGAAGAGGCCCCGTCCCAATTCGAGCAGGCTTGGAGATCTAAGCCCCAGGTCCCACACACCTGGGTTCCCCTGCCGGTTGGTTCCTTCATGTGTGAGGCTCGTCCGAATGTGTGGAGAGTGGTCTTAATCATGGCTGTGGCTGGAACTGGAGGTCTTCAACTGCTGGGAGTCTTCTCGGAGTGGGGAGAGAAACTCAACCCACCCTCCTCCAAGGGGCCCTGGTGAGGACAGCCAAGCACGGAGGCAAGAGACTCTGCTATTATAGACCTATTTTAAAACACACTGAACTAAAGCTAGTAAAATATTATCTATTGATTCACAATTTCTTAAATTCCTACATATGCTTTATTTCTTAATGTTGGGAACTCAGCTATAATCCACATGTAAGTTCTTTATTTTATGGAACTTGAATTTTTACATGGAAATCTGAGAAGTGCAAATGATGAAAAAAACAAGTGAACAAAGTGTTTTCTGATAGAGGTATGATAAGAAGAAAAGTAATGGTGAGTAATTAGTAATTGCAGTTAGTAGTAAAGTCACTTTATTTCTTTTTTGGTTTGGGCAGCCATACCTGATAGTGCTCAGGGCTTACTCCTGGTCCTGTGCTTAAGGTAGAGATCTTTATTTGTCTTGGAGTACTAAAGTGATTTTTATTCAAATGGGACATAAAATAAACATTTTGAAGACATCATAGTCTTTGAAATCAGTGTGTTCCAGATATTGATTTGTTTAATTTTCTTATGAATGTATTCGGAAGGGGCACTAAGTGGTGAATATTAAAATATTTCAATATCCAGCGGTGCGATTTTAAATGTTCCTTGTGTTGGTTATGAATTCTCAGTATTTTTCTGGCTGGTCCAGGAGATAGCTCAGGGTGCTAGAACACATGCCTTGTAAATGTTGGGTGCTATGTTCAATCTTCAGTACTGCATGGTTCTCTGAGCACCAGGTGTAGACCTGGTAGCCCCTCAGCACCACTTGATTGGCCCTGGTGGCTCCAACACTACTGGGCAAACAGTCCTTGGTATTAGTCCATTACCCAGTTGACCAAGTGTTGGTAGGGGTAGGAACCTGTGCTCTTCCCCCCAAAAAAAAAACCAGAAATACTTTGTATGACTAGAAGCATGAAAAAAGTTAACCTTCTACATTAGTAGAGAAGACCAAATAATCTAGTTTCTTTTGTTAGTGTTACCTTTATTTCATATCTGTATAAATCATATAGTGTTGAACACATAATAGATGCAAAGTCATGATTTGTTAAATTATTAGATTTATTTAAATTATTATTAGAAGTTTGACAAAATTTCTCATACTTGAAAATGAATCATACAACACTTAGTTTGATTTTTTTCAGGAAAAGCAGGAACCATATTTAATATTCATTATTGTGACTATAAAAATTTTATTAATTTTTTCCCCTGTCAATTTGTTCATTTGCTTTCCTGGCTGTCATATAATTATTTGC